ACAATGAATTAATGCTTCATTAATGTATCATTTGAATGAACTGTCTGAAATATAATCCTTAAAAAATTTATTGAAGCATTTTTTGAGCTGTAGCAACAAAAAAACTGATTTTGAGGAAAAACACCTTAAAATTTAGAATTTTTCCCTGTGAGCTAACAATGTTTTTGTTTCTTTGCAACTGGAAAATCTTAATACACAAATAGTATTTGAGGTTACTCTTTATATTAACATCAAAAATTATTCAATAAATGTACATAAAATTAAGATTCAGACCAAACAGAAATGTATTAATGTAACCAACAAAACAAATGAAGTCATATCTCTGGATAAGTTGATGTCAGAATGATCCAGGTATCAAAATGAAGCCTTTAAAGCAGGAATCTGAAAAATGAAATCAGGTTATTTTGACATAATTTGACTTAATCCTCATTTTGATGCAAAGGGTCACATATAAGCATGCAGGTGCTGTGAACATGTGTGTTTAAAGTAAAAATAAATCACTCCTGGTCTTTAAGCTCCAGTATTTGCTTCTTTTAACAGTTTCAGATGAAAAAAAAAACAGTTTAATACAAACTATGAGTCACCTTCCTAAATAAAATATTGCAAAGCTTTTATTATCTTCTCAGCAGCAACAAAACATCAATGAGAACCAAAACCAGCAGAAGCCTCCACAAATGGGCCGGTGCTAATCCAGAACATTCAGAAGCCATTATAGTTTAATGTGTGATCAGTCCYACACTGTGTGTGTAAGTGCTGCACACATCCAGGCCTCACAATCAACACAACACCACCCACAAAAGCTGCTCCCACGGTCCTGCTGGGGGGCTTCTCAGAGGAAAGGTTGACATTTAAAACAAGGTAAAGAAAGGTGCAGCTGCATGGATTATAAGATTAAACTTTGTGTTTTGATTCCAGATGAATGAGTTTTTATWACATCACTGTTAAAAGAAGCTCCTCTTATTATCAGAATAAATGAGAATAAATCTGCTGCTGATAATAAAGCTGCAGCAGCTGAAGCTGCTGAATCATTTGCTGGAGAAGAATGCTTTTCCAAGAAGATCCTTTTTTTTTTTTTTWGGAGGATGTCTATCTGTTTCCGGGGAGCGGGCCAGTAATGGACTCTAATGCAGCAAAGGAAATGATCCACTCATGTCCAATCACTACCTATGAGGCACGGATCAATAGCAGGTCCCCAGGGCTCGCAGGGAGACCGGGCTCACGCTGAGAGCAYAGGGGCTGAGGACTAACTACCAGCAGGCAGGAATTTACTTTTAAACATTTAATACTTTTATTTAAAGCCCTCTGAGCTGARGGGAGCTCACACTGACAGTCATCTGACTCTTTCAACCTGAAACCTCACTGATCACCTGAGAACGTCTCAGAAACCTTCAGCTGTTATTAAAYTCTGAGGAAGTTTGCAAAAACAAAATGATTTAAAAACTGATTGTGCAGAAAGGCCCATTCTGCAGCGAACTCCTTCATATAAACACAGACGGTGCAGAAAAATCTGATTAAAACACGTCTGTTTTGTGAAGGAGCTCTTAATTCAAGGCTCAGACCTGAACTGAACTTCTCAGATTTTAGTCTAAAACTTTGGCATGAATGAGAGAAATGTATTTCTTTAAGTTATCCTTCAAATGATTTAAAATCTAAATATGCTTCATAAAAACAAAAGCAGGGTTTGTTTTTTCCTCCAGCAGGTTGGAGATATTTTAAGTTTACTTATTAAAAGATATCTTGGTGGCTCATAACAGGATTTATCACAAAGAAGAAGAAAATCCAAAAAAGTTGCTTCACATCTCAGTCGTCCCTCTGAACCTCACCTGCAAACATCATAAAGGATTCTGTTCTGTCTGTTAGCAAAATATCTTAGGGAACTACAGCAAAGGTTTTAATAAAAACCCTCCCAGAGTTAAATATGACTATTATAAACCCTTGTATGGAGGACTGACACTGTCATAATTAGAAATAAAAGCAGAAATCTAAAAATGGACCAAATAAATTAAAAACGAGAACTTTACCTCGTTTTATAATTTAATTGCCCTTCATATTTATTTTACCAGTTTAGTTACAAT